CGGTGTTACACCACTACCTAACCCCAAACTCCTACCAATGAACCAGACCCCTCCATTGTCTCCCATCCACCTGCCACTCCAGGCACTCCAGCCACCCACACTGCCACTACCCCACCAGCTGGCCTCATCCTGACCCCCAAGAGGTCGTCACTCTGGTTTGTGTCAAAGCAATATTAGACCATATGATACAAGCTCACCCAGTCGTCCACCAAATATTGTAAAAGCAGACGATGAGTCACAATAACGTGGCTAAAGTAAGTTGACCAGACCACACACTAGAAGGTGAAGGGACGACGACGTTTCGGTCCGTCCTGGACCATTCTCAAGTCGAATGGTCCTGGACCATTCACAATCGACTTGAAAATGGTCCAGGACGGACCGAAACGTCGTCGTCCCTTCACTTTTTAGTATGTGGTCTGGTCAACTTGCAAAAGCAAACGGATCTTGAGAAAGTCCTCTGCCAGATTAAAACGACTCGGGAACAAATCCTCAAAATCCTGCAACAGCAGAGTCCGTCAAGTGGAGGTCCTGCAAGCCAGAGCCTGGTGCAAGATGATGCAACACATGCTGCCGAGGTCCGTCAGCAGACACAACAAGGACACCAGCACAATAACACATGTGAACATAATAACTACACACATACCCCATCTGATGCCAAACAACCTCAAAATGGATAATCACATCGAAGAACATCTCACTATACTACAACATAACTGCAATGGAGTTCGCAATAGAATTAATGACACCATCCATTACGTCTGTGAACACCAAACAGACGTCATAGTGCTACAGGAGACGCTGGTAGGTGATAACTTCAACCTAAGATTCAGCGGTTATCACAAGTTCTCCCTGTCCGCTGGGGAAAGAAAACGGGGTCTCATCACTTTTATAAATAACAACATTCCCGCACAGATTACCTGCACATGGGGGATGAGTGCGAGTCACTGAGGTTAACCCTTCACTTAAACAATAATGTCCTATATATAATCAACCTGTATGTGCCGCAGAGTAAACTAGACCTTGACACACTATCGAATTTGTTAATGAAGAACCTACCTGGCTGGTCGGTGAAAGCAAGTAAGGATGATAAGGAGTCATTTACAATTAATATATCAAGTTTGGAGACTTGTACACATTTCAGTGCAAGGTGCAAGGCAAATAGTTTGGTCTGGAGGGTAGAGACCCAGTTTTTTATTCTACCACAGACGTGGCCACACATTTACAATGCTAACCAACATATATTCATTTTCTTCTGTCCTCCATGGACAGGGTTAGAGATGTACGGACTCCCCACTCTTTATCATCCTTAATTGCTCTCAACTCTTTAAGACATAACTGTAACATGCTCGTGTCCGAAGCTAGACACAAATACAACAAAATTATTAATGATGGTAACAGAGTCCATTTCATGTGGTCTCCATCTCATATTGGCTTCCGAATGCATGATAGAACTAATGAGTTAGCCAAAGAATCTGCCTTTAAAGTAGACGTTGAGTATAACCTTGGATTGTCAATGTCTGAGAGCAATAGTACACCGAGAACTTCAACAAAATCTTGTAGATCTGAGGCAAAGTGAAATAGACACCAATAATTCCATCTATCATCATACTATCATGCAAGAGGAGCCACACATCTATGGTTCATCCAATAAAATCAGCAGACTTCTAGATGTTACTACTGCTCGGCTTAGACTCGGTTACACATATCTCTGGGAATTCTCATTATCTGCCGATGTAGACCTGACCAAATGTAAACTGTGTCAACAAAATTATTCGCACACCCTCCGTCACTATGTGATGGAGTGGGAAAAGATACGCGAATTCAGAGACAATTCTATAACCAATGTTCCAAAGATGTGTAAATATTTAATTCAAAATGATCTGCTACTAGAAATTTTAGCCAAATATCCCCAGTTTGCTAACTGTAGGTAGTAACTAAGTGATTGTAACCTATGCACCGCTGTCCACTGGATGGGGGGCGGTGTGCAGGACAAACATATCAATTGTGACACCAGCTCTCCACATATGTTAGTTGCTTAATTTAGAAACTGTACTTGTGGTCGATCTCGAACCCATTGCTGACTTATACTGAATTTTGTAACTAGTTCATCAAGATAGTAACTTGCTTAGCTAAATGAATTGTAGGGTTCAGTCCCTGAGCCCATTATGTGCCTCTGTAACCCTTTCCACTACCGCCCACAAGATGGGTATGGGGTGCATAATAGATGAACTAAACTAAACTAACTACGAGAGGAGTTGTCCCTCCCCAGTGTTAAAAGCAGAATTAAGCAACTGAATGCTAAGCTTGCAATTAGGATAGCCAGAGATCCCCATTACAATGATATTGGCAAGAAAAAACTGAGTTCTGTGTTACAGGAAAAAACAGGAGAAGCAAAAAATGGCATCGAAGATCAGTCTTCTACCTCGTAGAACTTCACCTGCTTGAGCAAGCCCGTGAGCTCCTGGCTGTAGAGAGGTTACCTCCCTGGGAGGATGACTCATGCAGGATCATTATCAATAAAATGGCAACGAAAAAATCCAACATGATACCACAAGAAACGAGGCACAAGTATCTTGGGGAAATTCATAAAGAAGCCGGAGATGATCTAGATCAAATCTACACTGACGGGTCATCTAATCCTGTCAATGGCAGGGCTGGTGTAGCATACACTGTAATTAAGAATAAGGCCTTTCAACGCAGAAATAAAGAGAAAGCACGTATTGAAAACTATGCCTCTTCAACGCAAGCGGAGCTAACTGCCATTGTTATGGCGTTAAGATTCCTTGAACGAAACACTAATAGCGCAGTGATCTGCACTGATTCAAAAGCAGTGTTACAAAGCCTAAGTAAAAATCGGGCAAAAAATCTTGCGATAGTCGTTGAAATTAAGAGAGCTGTGAGGACACTAATCAATCAGGGAAGAGGCGTCAAGTTTCTGTGGATCCCTTAACATGTTGGAATATGTGGGAATGAACAAGCAGATGTGTTGGCTGCTGAAGGTGACCATATTGAATACTTCATACTCAAGACTCTGCTACAAATTAGAGGCATTATCAAGCAACATCACCGTGACAAGGTAACTGAGGAAAGGAAGATTGAAGAACAAATCAGTGAATCTGTACGATGGTACAATGTGGTTGCAGCTGGTAATCCCAATCATTATGGACAAAGAGCAGGTGGCCGCGAGGGAGTATCAGTAATAGCAAGAATCCGTCTTGGATACAAATATCCATGGAGATTCGGAATGGAAACAATAGTTGAGCAGCGGAGTTGTAGAATCTGTGATGAGAGTGATGGACACCGCCTTGACCACTACCTGAGAGAATGTGAACACCTGAAAGACATTAGAAATATGTGTAGAATAATAAACCCCACATTGTTTGAGTTAGTGAAACACTATACTTAAATATAGATACTGTTCTTAAAAGATTTCCCCACTTTGCATCCACAAGATAACGTAAGATTTTAAGGGTTGACAAATGTTAATCTTTTTGTTTGATAAGCTGTTCACTTGAGACAGTTAATAAAAAAGTTCCAGCTGTGTCTGGGTACAAGTGACAGGATGAACAACCCAGCGGGTTTTCTTCCTATTTGGGAGTGTTATACATACTGTTATGGCGGTATGTTCACTCACAGGATGAGTGACGCTGCCCAATAAACTCGCTCCTCGGGGCAAAATTTAAAAATTAAATTGAAGATCATTTTCCTCTGACCATTATCACACACTCTCCTCATTTGTATTCCATGGCAGGGCTAATGGGGGTAGTTAACAAGGACTTAGTTCTGTAGAACTACTGAAGTTTTGCCTCCTCTCCACCTTAATTTAGAAACTGTACTTGTGGTCGACCTCGAACCCATTGTTGATGTGACGACTTATACTGAATTTTGTAACTAGCTCATCAAGACTGTAACTTGCTTAGCTAAATGAATTGTGGGGTTCAGTCCCTGAGCCCATTATGTGCCTCTGTAACCCTTTCCACTACCGCCCACATGATGGGTATGGGGTGCATAATTTATGAATTAAAGTAACTACCTCCACCAGGGTGCAGGACTACTGAAGTGTTACAGTCTCTCCAGCAGATGTCATGGCTGTTGAAATTTAACCTTCATTTCACTTTTGGTTAAGACTGATCTAATGTTAACTGGTAGTCGACCTGTGGGATCAGTCAGTCGTGGGATAAGCAAAAATAAGGAAGTTGATTAGAGGAATGTGTTGACTGGGCACCGGAGGGGTGATGGGGGGATTAGGGAAGGGGGTGAAGGGGGTGAGGGAGGAGAGAGGTACAGGTTCCAGAGTTGGGGAATGTCGCTTCAGTTCAGTATCGGGTTGGTCGCCTGCCTGAACACACCTATCATCACTGCAACAACAACAGCCTTCTCCTCCTTCTCCTCCTTCCCTTACTCCAGCCACAGCTGCTGCAACCCATTCCTCCTACCACAGTTCCTACAGCAACCTTTTCTCCTCCTACCACAGTTCCTGCAGCAACCTTTTCTCCTCCTACCACAGTTCCTGCAGCAACCTTTTCTCCTCCTACCACAGTTCCTGCAGCAACCTTTTCTCCTCCTACCACAGTTCCTGCAGCAACCTTTTCTCCTCCTACCACAGTTCCTGCAGCAACCTTTTCTCCTCCTACCACAGCTGCAACAACCAATCATTCTGCGTCTTCCTCAACCCTCAACCACAACTACTTCTACTTTCGAGAGTTTAATTCAGCGAGTAGTGCACCTTCTATGCCTTCACTTCCTGTGGCTCCAGCCTCCCTCCATAATGATAAAGCTCTAAATTCCGTTTTTTTTTATCAGTTTTAAAGGTTGGGGGGAGTTTATATCGTGTTGTCCAAGGTTGTTTCATGTGTTAAAATTTGGAATTTCATAAGTCGTTAGTGTGTTAGTGTGATACGTATACTATCGCATAATTTCATTGTGATTTTCTGGCGTGTGGCTTTACCTAGCAAACACACACACACACACATGCACACACACACACGCACACACACACACCGAGGAGCCAGAGCCCAGGTTGGGTGTGAGGTACAGTACTCCAGGAGCTGCCCGTCAGTCAAGACATCTCTCAAGAATGGCAAAAGGATCTCTAAATCTGATCCAAGAAAACGGCCATCTGAGCAAGGTAAGTTTCGTGAACACACACTCACGTTATATATATATATATATATATATATATATATATATATATATATATATATATATATATATATATATATATATATATATATATATATATATATATATATATATATATATATATATATAACAACTAATAACAAAAATTGCTTAAGTAGCCGAATTTTCGTGAAATATTTAACTTTTCCGATAGTTTTTCTTATGAAATGATAAAGTTTTATTTATATTATATATAACTGCAATTTTATGTTGATTCAAAACTAACATATAGAAATATGATCAAACCTAACCCTACCTATCCAAACCTATCCTAACCTAACCTAACATAACTAAGTCAGTAATTCTTTGTGCTAGTATAATAATTATTGCTATAAAAACAATCGGGAAATAAATATTTGAAAATATAGAATATCATTCGGCCTGTTAGCCACATTGGACATTGCATACTAGGCCAAGTAGTGCGGTTCTGGCTATTAGGCACGGCATTATATATATATATATATATATATATATATATATATATATATATATATATATATATATATATATATATATATATATATATATATATATATATATATATATATATATATATATATATTACAGTTGTTAGTTGGCATGAGCAATCATTCATGTCGTGAGCATGATACAGAGGGGTGTGTAGATTTTTAAAATACAGATTTTTTCTTAGGAATGAAGTGCTTGGGAAGTTACTGTTAACCACAGGAAAAAATATTAAATGATGGTGAACTCAATGGGACAACATTAGATTAGGCAAGACAGATTTTAATATATTAATTAATGTTTGGATTAACACAAATTTGTACTTTACGGGGCATGTGAAATGTGTTGGAATTAAATGTGCAAGTAAATTGGCTTTTGGTATAAATATATTCGGCTTTATACACGGCCTCATACACTGTACCATCTATCATGGAACACTCATCAGTAATGCGACATTTCTGCTCAAGGTTAAATCTAACCTTGAGAAGATTTCAATTTAAATCAGCAGATTTAAGATTTAACGCCTAAATCTTAAGATGTTACACGAAATGCGAAATACATCCAGATATCCAACAGGGATCCATTCACTCGCAGACATAATAATGTAGGGGAGTGAGTGGTGTCCGTCTGTCCCGCCTGGAGCCGTCTCTCTCTTGAGAACATGCAACAGCAAGCAAGATGCTTGATCTCTTTCCTCCAGAATAACAACTTCTACCCTCTTGTTTGCCCAACCTCTTGGGCTGGAAGGGAGAGCGACGGTCTCGCTTCATGCAGGTCGGCGTTCAATCCCCGACTGTCCAATTAGTTGGGCACCATTCCTATCCCCCAGCCCGTCCCAAATCCTTATCCTGACCCCTTCCAAGTGCTTTATAGTCGTAATGGCTTGGTGCTTCCCCCTGATAACTCCTTCTCTTCCCCCTAGTTACCTAGAGATCACAAAGTTATGGAACTCGTTTTGCCAACCAAATCAGTCACTGCCACAGTTCTCAAGTTATAAATGAACAGCTGAAACCTCAAAATGGCATTCAATTCAAAATCCGAAATTCCAAAACTGTATTCATAAATGCAGACGATGAGTCACAATAACGTGGCTGAAGTATGTTGACCAGACCACACACTAGAAGGTGAAGGGACGACGACGTTTCGGTCCGTCCTGGACCATTCTCAAGCCGACTGTGACGTCGTCGTCCCTTCACTTTCTAATGGTGTGGTCTGGTCAACATGTATTCATAAATGTTTATACATTTAAAATTGTATTTGTTTGCATAAAATTACAAAACTCACTTAAGAGAAACTCATAATAATATTATAATATGTAATAATTATAATGATATACTTTATATTCAAGATTTAGATTTAGAAGCTACACGTATCACTGATTTCTAAACATCAATACTGTTGTGGCTGGAGTAAACAGGTGTTAAAGACCACAGATAAAACTTAGTTTCAATTTGTACTCAAGTGACCAGAGTGCAGCTGTGGCCCCCAGCAAGTTTTAGTTAGTTTAGTTCATTTATTATGCACCCCATACCCATCTTGTGGGCGGTAGTGGAAAGGGTTACAGAGGCAAGCAAGCAATACCATAATACCAACTTAAGTCAATAATGAAATTCAGTACCATACATATTAACCCCCTCAGACCATCCTCCCCCCCTTCCCCCCCTACCACCTCCCCCACCACCCCTCCTCCTCTCTCAGGTCACCTGACCTGGGGTCTGATCTGGGGAACTGTAGTTGTTTGATCTCTGACCTTGACCCCTGACTGTTGTGGTAAAGGTCATATTGTAGTCAGTATTCAATCTAGAATGACAGACAGGCGAAAATGAGAGAGTAACAGGGCCCCCAGCGTGACTGTGTGTGTGTGAGGGGGGGGCTGAATCCCCTGTACCTCATTCCCCCCAGAACTCCCTAAACAAACCCACTCCCCATTCTTCCCCCAACCAATACCACTCCCCCTCCAACTACACCACATCCCCCTCCTCTCCTCCCCACATCGCCTCCTATAAGACTCTCCACCCCACACCGCCTCCTATAAGACTCTCCACCCCCCCCCCCCCAGCCAGCCCCACCTTCCCCCCCCCCACCTTCCCCCCCCCCCCACCCCAGACCCCCACCAGTAGCCAGGGACCGGTTCACTGAGGGCGGACCTCTACACTTTCTCCTTCGCATGATTGTTTTTATCTAAGTGCGTATAAGGCAAGTTTTATGTCTGAAGTTAAGCACTGTGTGTGTGTGTACAGTTACTGTGTGTGTGTGTACAGTCACTGTGTGTGTGTGTGTGTACAGTTACTGTGTATGTGTGTGTGTACAGTTACTGTGTGTGTGTGTACAGTTACTGTGTGTGTGTGTACAGTCACTGTGTGTGTGTACAGTCACTGTGTGTGTGTGTACAGTCACTGTGTGTGTCTACAGTCACTGTGTGTGTGTGTACAGTCACTGTGTGTGTGTGTACAGTTACTGTGTGTGTGTGTACAGTCACTGTGTGTGTCTACAGTCACTGTGTGTGTGTGTACAGTCACTGTGTGTGTGTGTACAGTCACTGTGTGTGTGTGTGTGTACAGTTACTGTGTGTGTGTGTGTGTGTACAGTTACTGTGTGTGTGTGTACAGTCACTGTGTGTGTGTACAGTTACTGTGTGTGTGTACAGTCACTGTGTGTGTGTACAGTTACTGTGTGTGTGTGTGTACAGTTACTGTGTGTGTGTACAGTTACTGTGTGTGTGTGTGTACAGTTACTGTGTGTGTGTGTACAGTTACTGTGTGTGTGTGTGTACAGTTACTGTGTGTGTGTACAGTCACTGTGTGTGTGTACAGTCACTGTGTGTGTGTACAGTCACTGTGTGTGTGTGTGTATGTACAGTTACTGTGTGTGTGTGTACAGTCACTGTGTGTGTGTGTACAGTCACTGTGTGTGTGTACAGTTACTGTGTGTGTGTGTGTGTACAGTCACTGTGTGTGTGTGTGTGTGTGTACAGTTACTGTGTGTGTGTGTACAGTCACTGTGTGTGTGTACAGTCACTGTGTGTGTGTACAGTTACTGTGTGTGTACAGTTACTGTGTATGTGTGTGTGTATAGTTACTGTGTATGTGTGTGTGTACAGTCACTGTGTGTGTGTACAGTCACTGTGTGTGTGTACAGTTACTGTGTATGTGTGTGTGTGTACAGTTACTGTGTGTGTGTGTGTGTGTACAGTTACTGTGTGTGTGTGTACAGTCACTGTGTGTGTGTACAGTCACTGTGTGTGTGTACAGTCACTGTGTGTGTGTACAGTCACTGTGTGTGTGTACAGTTACTGTGTATGTGTGTGTGTACAGTTACTGTGTATGTGTGTGTGTACAGTTACTGTGTGTGTGTGTACAGTCACTGTGTGTGTGTACAGTCACTGTGTGTGTGTACAGTCACTGTGTGTGTGTGTGTGTACAGTCACTGTGTGTGTGTGTACAGTTACTGTGTGTGTGTGTACAGTCACTGTGTGTGTGTGTGTGTACAGTTACTGTGTATGTGTGTGTGTGTGTGTACAGTTACTGTGTATGTGTGTGTGTGTGTGTACAGTTACTGTGTATGTGTGTGTGTACAGTTACTGTGTGTGTGTGTACAGTCACTGTGTGTGTGTACAGTTACTGTGTGTGTGTACAGTTACTGTGTGTGTGTGTACAGTCAGTGTGTGTGTGTACAGTTACTGTGTGTGTGTACAGTTACTGTGATTGTGTACAGTCACTGTGTGTGTGTACAGTCACTGTGTGTGTGTACAGTCACTGTGTGTGTGTGTACAGTTACTGTGTGTGTGTACAGTTACTGTGTGTGTGTACAGTCACTGTGTGTGTGTGTACAGTCACTGTGTGTGTGTACAGTTACTGTGTGTGTGTACAGTCTCTGTGAGTGTGTACAGTCACTGTGTGTGTGTGTACAGTCACTGTGTGTGTGTACAGTTACGGTGTGTGTGTACAGTCACTGTGTGTGTGTGTACAGTTACTGTGTGTGTGTACAGTCACTGTGAGTGTGTACAGTCACTGTGTGTGTGTGTACAGTTACTGTGATTGTGTACAGTCACTGTGTGTGTGTACAGTCAATGTGTGTGTGTACAGTCACTGTGTGTGTGTGTGTACAGTCACTGTGTGTGTGTACAGTCACTGTGTGTGTGTGTACAGTCACTGTGTGTGTGTGTACAGTCACTGTGTGTGTGTGTACAGTCACTGTGTGTGTGTGTGTACAGTCACTGTGTGTGTGTACAGTTACTGTGTGTGTGTACAGTCACTGTGTGTGTGTGTACAGTCACTGTGTGTGTGTGTACAGTCACTGTGTGTGTGTACAGTTACTGTGTGTGTGTACAGTCACTGTGTGTGTGTGTACAGTTACTGTGTGTGTGTACAGTCACTGTGTGTGTGTGTACAGTCACTGTGTGTGTGTGTACAGTCACTGTGTGTGTGTGTACAGTTACTGTGTGTGTGTGTACAGTCACTGTGTGTGTGTGTACAGTTACTG